CCACAAAGGATCTAGTCCAACTGCACCCACTTTTGTCTACCATAAAGGTCTAGCCTAAGTAATCCTGAGGAGGAGGAGGAGGAGGAAGAGGAGGAGGAGGAGGAGGAGGAGGAAAGGAAGAGGCGACTGTACCAGACTCCCAGCATCTCTCCATCTACAATGAGCCGCAGTGGCGCAGTGGTTAGAGGGCAGTGCTACAGGCTACTTCTGCCTGCCGCTCCCTGCAATTTGGTAGTTCAAATCTCACCAGGTTTGACAGCCTTCCATCCTCCTGAGGTGTGTAAAATGAGGGTTGTTGGAGGCCAGATGCTGGCTCCGTAACTGCTTAGAGAGGGCTGTAAAGCCCTGTGAAGCAATATATAAGTCAGAGGGCAATTGGAAAAGGAGTTTCCCTTTGAAGATAGCGAAGATCCTGTCACCTTAAATCACTGTCATTCTTCATAGACCAGTTTCAAACTCCTCCCTAGCTGAAGGAATGGGAGGGACCTCTTCCCCCCTTATATACAAACACAAACAAACACAAAATCACAAATGATTTAGAAAACCTCCTTGCAAATCTCCAGTGCCACCAGGACAAAGCATTCCTTGTCCAGAGGAAGATCAAGTTGGGGGGGGGGGGGCTGCCAAAGCTAATGGGAGCCCAGCTCCCTCTCCAGAGCCTGCTCTCCCAGGAATAGGAGCTGAAGGCCCAGGGAAGCTCCTGGGCACAAGGCCGAGCTGCTTCCTAAGAACCACCAGGAGGGTCTCTGGTGCAGCAGGCAGGCCCACTGGAAGGAAGGGGGCATGGCTCCCATCAGCCCTGACCACGGGACCTGGAATTCTCTCTCTCCCACACACTCCAAATTCTAGGGGCCCCCACAAGAGCCAAGCCCCACTCCAGCTCAGAGCTCAGAAGAGGGGCAGAGGGGCCCTAATCTCAGAAGCCGCCCACAGACCAGGGGCCCCATGGTGGCCCTTCCTCTGCAGACCGGGTTTGTCCTTTGGAGCACAGGCCTCGGACCCCCAGCTCTTCCCTCCCCCAGAGGCTCTGGACGGTCTGCCCACCGCACTTCCAGGTGCCTGAGCAAGAATGCGGGCAAGGCAAACACGGCCAGGAGTGGCTATTTGTTTAAGGGAGCGATTGTTGCCTCAAAGCCAAACAGAAACCTCCCTCTGCCTTTGTTTTTATCTTGTGCTGCTCAGGGACGTCCCGCCACATGGTTTCCCCAGCGGACAGGCCCACTTTTCAGGTGCCACCTCGGAATAGCGTGGGAGGCACCTGCTCTGGGTCCGAGATGGACTGGGAGAAAGTCTTGACACTGCAGCCTCCTCAGGGCCACAAGGCCCAGCAGAAAACCCCTCAACCCTCTGGCTGCCCCTTTCGGAAAGCACGTGGCCCTGGAGGACTCTGAGCCACGACTCAGGAAGCGGCCACACTGCCTGCTGCCGTGGCCCAAAGGCCCTGCCGAGGGCAGGCTCTGCTCCTGCACTGGGACCCAGGAGCCTTCAGAGGTACCTGCTGGGCAACATGGAAGAAACCCCCTTCCAGGCATCCCTGTGACGGGCTGCCACCCACAACCTGCTACTAAGCCAGCGCTGATCCCAAAGCCGCCCGTCCAGACTGAGAACCAGCAAAGAGGGTGGGAAGCGGCTGCCTTTTGACTCGGGGTCCTTTTGGGCTCCAGATGGCCGTCCCCAATGAGGCTGCTCCCCCCTGCCCCCCAAGCCGGGGGGGGGGCAGGGAAGAGATGGGCTGGGCTCAGAGGCTCCCCCCAGCGCCCCTTGGCAGGTAGAAGAGACCGAACCGGGGATCTCTAGCCAGGCACTAACCCAAAGGGCAACTTGGGCCTGGGGCAGGGAGGGAAGGGGGGGCCGCTCTCTAAAGCGTTTCAGACCGGTGCCTCCAGGTTTAGGATCGGGCGCTGCAGCCTCCAGCCGCCAACCCCCCCCAACCCCTGTTCAGCGAGGGTCCCGCCTCAAGCCCCGGCCGAGAGGCCCCCTCCAAGGGCCGCGCTCAGGGGGACTCCGAAGCCGGGCCTGGCAACAGCGGCAGACTACAACACCCATCCTCCTCTGCCCCGCGGAGGCAGCTCTCCCACTTCCCCGGTGCCGGGCGGTCCAGCCACCCCACCTGCGGGCACCGCCGGCCGCCAAGCTCTCCGGCGACACGGCAGGGAGCAACAGGAGGGCGGCGGGCAGCCCGCGGAGCTTCTCGCGCGAGGGGCGGCCGGAGCGCTTTCGGCCTNGAGCAGAATTCACAGTCAATTAATAAAAGGGTTTTTTGTCTAGACAAGGGGTTTGCTTCATGCCCTTGGGAAGCCTGGGTCAGAACATGCGCCCAACTCTCTTTTCCCAGCCCCCTGCTGTGGTCCCACTGCAGGCAGGCCTGAGGAGGAGGGGGGGGGTCTTTCCGCTCTGTCCATCCAGCCTCTTCCCTCCAAGCGGCATTGGGTCGGAGGGCTTGATGGAGCAGGTGGGCACCAGCCTTGAATGAAAGAAAGGCAGCGCGCAACTCCCCTGCTCCCTGAGCGGCCACTTTTGCTGACTCCTCCCTTTTCCCGGCAGGTGCGTGTCTGGAGTTATAGCATGGAGGACGAGAGTTCAGTGACGGAGAAGATGTACACCTTAGATGAGCATCCGGGGGTCCTCATCATCGCCTACGCCCCCCACGTGCACCTCTTTGTGGCCTACTGCGATGACATCCACTTCCGCTTTTTTGGGGACCACACTCGGGACTTCAAGCTGCTCTCCAAGATGTCTTCCCCCTATTCGGTCACCAGCCTGTGCTACAGTCCAGACACGTGTGAGCTGATTTCTGGAGCCATCGGAGTGGTGGCTTTTTGGGCCTTGTTGATGTTGGAGGTTCCCTCCATGAGTGTCACGCAGGAGGTGTGTGTGGCGACTGGCGAGTTTGTGCACTTTCTGAAGGTGGAGCCGGAGCGGAGGATGCTGGTGGCCCTTTGCGAGAACGTCATTCGGGTGTATGACTACCAGACCAAAGCCCAGATCCGCACCTTCCAGATGAGCCAGGGGGTCTCTCTCACCTGCTGCGCTGCCCATTGGCCCCAGAGCTTCCTCTACACAGGAGACCTGGCTGGGGACGTCAAGGTCTGGAACTTTGACACGGGTACCCGTGTCAGGGACTTCAAGGCCCACCAGAGTGCCATCAGCAACGTAATCGTCCGGATGGCCGTGCACAGCTTCATGACTGCCTCCTTGGATGGGAAGCTGAAGGAGTGGAACCTGACGACCTGCGAGCTTCTCCGGCGGGTGGACATTGGGGAGGAGGTCTTCCAGATGCAGTTCCTCAACGAGGAGACTTTCTTCCTCCGCACCCAGTACACCTTCTCCATCCGTATGGTCAACAATTTCTACCAGCTCTTCAGCAGGAGCAAGTCCTCCCTCAAGAGGCTGGTGCGTGTGCAATGTGGGCCAGACACAGCCCGCCTCCTGGCCACCACGGAAGACGGGGTCGTCCGGTTCTTGTCCCCTGTGACGGGAGAAATGCTGTTCGTTACCTGGCCCTTCCAGCTGCTGGAAAAAGCCCTGGATTATGTTTATGACCCAGATCGAGAGGAGCTCCTGGTGACAATGGGCACGAGTGACATCTACGTGCTGGACACCACTAAGAACCCTTGCCCAGCCAAGTACATTTTGCACACGACGGACAGCATGGACGACAAGGTCCTGTGCTTGGCGTACAGCCGCCTGGACCTGGATGGCCGGGCCACCAGCTTCATCTTCAGCGGGTTCAAGAGTGGCAAAGTGCGCTCGGTCACTCAGCAGCTGTACCGAATGGGCAGCCGCAAACTGCACGATGGCAACGTGGTGGCCCTCAGCAGCCTCTCGGGCTCAGGGCACCTGCCGTACCACTCACGGGAAGCCTCCTTCCTCTGCTCCTACGGGCTCGATGAATACATCATCCTCTCGGAAGTGATCTTGAAGAAGAACAGCCTGCTGGAGGTGCTCCCCCTGGTGGTCATCCCCAGCACCAACTGCAGGATCAACATCCTCCTGCTCATCCCCGGGTACATCTGTGCCTTGACGGACCAGAACCGAGTCCGGCTGTGGCGCCAGGCAGCCCTGGTTCCTGGCGCGAAGAACCCCTTCTGGAATGAGACGGCAGCCATGCACTCGAGCACCATCACCTCTTTCGACTACTGCCACGCCCTGGGCCTCCTGGTGACCGGGGGCTCCGACGGCTCCGTCCGCATTTGGGACCTCCTGGGGAAAATGCTGGTGGACTTTGACACCACCCTCAAGTTCAGCCGCGTCTGTTTTGCCAACCAACGGGGGGACCTGGTGGTGGGCTGCAGCACGGACATCTACTTCATCTCCTGCGTCACGTACCTGCCAAGGAAGCCCCTCGCCAGGCTCTTGACCCAGCGTGTAAGGGATGACGCAGTTGAGCGTCCACTGCCCTTCCTCCCCCGCTTCCTTCTTACCTTCGACATCGTTTTTGTGCCCAAGTAAGTGGCTCCCCTGTGTTTTGGTTGGGTGGCTAAAATGATCTATCATCTCTATAACTATCTTCTATCAATGCCTTCCCACCCACCTACCTACATCCATCTACATCCATCTACATCCATCCATCCATCCATCCATCCATCCATCCATCCATCCATTATCTCTATCATCAATCTGTCATGTATCTGCAGTTTGTTGGCTTAACAGGCTTCATTGGGATTTGAATTTTATGGTGCTTTATGATTCTTTTCTGGAGAACATCTACCTTTGCCTGTTCCAGCTATCTGCAGGTTTCTGCCTTGCGTAGTGTGGTTTTTTTTACCACTACTGTACCAGTTGGACAGTGGACACAAGCCTGCTCCTCGGCCAAAGGTTCTCCCCACATCCGCTACATGCAAAGCACTTTGCCTCAGCGTGGCTCCCGCGGGGCTTTTTCACAGAAGCTCTTCTCGTAGGTCCGACACTGAATGTTCTTCTTACTTGTCCCTTCAAGTTTTTTACTAGCTTGAGCTTTGAAGCTTTTCCTGGGATCATTGGGCTGGAAGACTCTCATTCTTGCAGACCTTCGGAGGGCTCAGTCCAGGACCTCCGTGGGCTTTGTGGCTCTGGAGCAAAGCCCCTTTGCCTCTGCTTCTGACTGGGCTCTTCTCAAGCAGGAAGAGCCTCAGACCAGAGGATGAAGAGCTGATGAAGGTGGCGATGTTTGTGGAATTGCCGGCCGAGATTCCCCCTTCTGGATCAGCCATTTCTTTACATCACTCCTGCTTTTTGAACCTGTAGCCCAGCTACATTTTCACGGATTTAATTCTATGTTTGCATCACAACCTAAGTAATTTGTATTAATATGGGAAGTAATTAACTTGGCTGGTCCCATTATTGTAGCCATACTCTCTGAGTTTAATGTGGATTTTCTTTGCATCACGGATTTATGTAGCTTCGTTTAGATCCACCTCTCTTGAGAACATTGTCCTCTCCCCGAGTTTATGCTTAACAGAGCCCATCCTGTGCAGGCTGGGTCTCCAGTGCTTGAACCCTTGAAAGGCTGACTGAGTTTCATTGAAGAAATCCAACATAATTTGCTGACCTGGGATTGAAATATACTGTATCCTCTGCGTGATACCTGGCCCAACTCTGGGGAATAACCTCACCCATTCATATTGATCGAAAGTAAGGGAGGAGAATGTTGAGTCCTTGGCCTCCCGCCCTGGAGGAGGCTTCTCCTCTCCCTCTGCTGGCCTCTTCCTTTGGGCTTGATGATGGCCATGACCACCTCATCTCCTTAAATCCCCAGTAGTCAGCCAAGCCTGTTTAGATTGAGATTGCAGAAGCTCTGCGTGGACCAGACATCCTGGGGTCCTGTCTGAGAGAGGGGCTACCTCCACGTCAACCACTGTCTGCACCTCTTATCCATCCTAATCATTCCTTAGTTCCTTACCACTCACCATCGCCTCTTTCTCCAGCCAGCATCTTCCTTGGCATTTCCATTTTCCTGTGAGTTCCCTTACCTCGTTCATGCGACAGGCAGTCCACTCTGTCCATCCGCCTGAGGTCAGATTCAGCTGAATTGCTCCAGGGAGGACAGTGGGGTGGGGCACCCCTTTTCCCCGTGGGCGTCGTTGTTCTCTGGCAGAGTCAGCGGCAGAAAGACCGAGCCAGTCCCCCTGGAAAGGGAGAGCTGTTTTGACTGCCACCCTTCCCTGCTCTCTGGCAGTTGCCATGCTTTTAACCAAGTATCCACGGGCAGATGCCCTCTTTCCTCCGCTGTGCCAGGAGACCACGAGTGGCAGGAGCAAATGGAGCATGGTGGGGCCTGCAGGTTGCCCAGACAGTTTCTGCTGGGGGGCTGTTTTGAAGAAGGGGGGCTAATGGAGAGGGACACCTGATCCAATTAGGGTGGATGAACAAGTGATGCTTTTTCCATTAAAGATCGGGACCTTGAGCACTGTTGGGAAATCAGATCGGGAGACGGCATGGCCACCTTTTGCCATCTGGTGCCCACATTTGGGCTATGAATTCTGGGGGCAGCAAGTGGGCACCTGCTGGTGAACTGCGTGGGAGGTCGGGGGTGACGTGCTGTATGGTTAGCAGAAGGAGGCGGCTTCTGATTCTCACGCTCCACCATCCTTCGTTGTTCAGGTACCTGCAGGTGGGCAAGCAGGCCAAGAAGTTTGAGCGGATGGAGCCCCTCACCAACCACAAGGAGGTCGTGATGGAGAAGAATGTGGCCGTGGTGGTGGAGTTCGTCGGCAGGGATGGGGGCGTCTTTCCCGGCCCCGATTTCTATGGGCTGCCCCCACCGCCCCCCAAGGAAACCCTGCCGGAGTTTGCGGTGGAGTACCAGCTCATTTCGCAGCCCGCTCTCAGGCTTTCCTTGGAGAAGAAGCTGGCCCCCCCACCGCCTTACCGTGGCCTCCCACGGATGGTGCAGCAGCTGCCCTTGCTCCAGACCATCCGCTTCCAGCAAGGGCACTCCTGGCCGATTGCTCCCGACGGCTACGTCCCCAACTCAGTCATCCGGGCTCACCTCTTCCCCAAGGGGACTCCCCCGGACCTCTGGTGCCCCTTGCTGCCAACCCGGGACCCCCTGCCCAGGAGGAAGCTGGTCAAGGTCCAGATGCCGGAGTGGGACACGTCCGAGCTGATGGAGAAGGCGCGGAAGAAAAAGGCCCAGAAGATGAAGCAGACGCCCTCGGGCACCAGGTCCCACCGGGACCTCTTGGCGGAGATCATGAACAAGCGCTGGCTGAGGCACAAGCCCAGCGACACCACCCTGCCCGCCATCATGAAAGCCATCCTCAACCTCATGGACGACGTCCCCTACTCCACCTACCTGCTCTGCACCTCCGCGCTGGTGCAGCTCTCCGAGTCCTACGCGCTGCCCGCCAGCATACAGGAAGCGGCCTTTGAGCGTCTCATCCAGGACACCACCCACAAGGAGGTCAGGCCAGGCGGGGCCTCCGGGGCACCTCCGGGGAGTCCCCGGTTGTCACTGCCCGCGTCCCCCTTGCAGTGACCAGAGAGGAGCGGTGGGGGAAGGGCAGTTGGGGGTTGAGCAGGTGAGGGAGGAGGAGGAGGAGGAGGAGGAGGAGGAGGAGGGCAGTTCTTCCTCCCCCCTCAAGCCCAGGATGGACGCACAGGCAGAGCCCATTGACAGTGGGGGGGGGGGAAGAGGGGGCGCAAGGAGGAGAAGGCCGGAGCTCCTCGCCTCCCAGGGAGAGGCAGCTGCTTCTCTGGAGCTGCAGGGCTGGCAACCACCCAGCAGGCTGGACAGGAACGTCCAGAGGGGGGGACCCTGTGTGCACCCAGCCTTCCTCTCCTCCAGGGCTTTGAGGCAGAGGGAGGAGCAGCCGGCTCAGGGGGCCTTGGAGGGGGAGAGGCCGAGGCTCCCGCCTTCAGCACCACCTGCTTAGTCTTTACCCAGCTTTGTTATTTAGCCAGAATTGCTGCAGCCAATGGAGCTGCTGGCACAGCAGGGATCCTGGTAGGTGGTGGCCTGAGCCAGGTCCAGGCCTAGCTCTGGGCATCCTGCTTCAGCTCAGGCCTCTCATTTCCCAGGTGAGGATGCGGCTGGCGGCCTGGGAGGCCTTGGGGAAGATGGACCTCCTGGGTGAACAAGAGGTGGTGCCCCTGGCCCAGGCCCTGATGGACGAGAACAAGA